AACTACTCAAACTTTTTCAAAAGCAGGACTAATTCTAGAGTGCATGGACCCAGAAACACAAGCATCTGATGTGGACACAATAATTATGTAAAAAATCGTCGACTTTCAAATCACATCATTGCAGCTTCAAAGGGGAAATTAGTAATCTCGCCGGGGGTAACTCATATCATGCACAGCTGCTAAGTAGGGCTCAAATTTCGAAGTGAGAACAATTACTTGACGTATAAATTTTATCAGGGCTGATTCAAATAAAATTCATACGACATTCCAAAATTTTTTAAATAAAGATATGATCGTCGCAGTGGTAATTGCAATTCAACCAATTGCAAATTAATCCGAGAAAAAATCCGGGACTTCAACGGGATTCGAACCCATGACCTCTGCGTTAGCGCTGCAGTGCTCTAACCAATTAAGCTATGAAGACCCATGCACTGAAAGCTGGCCAATTTGTTGAAAAAAAAATCGAGACTTCTTGGGTTTTCTCATGTTAATTTGCAATTGCTAAAATTGCAATTACCACTGCGATGATCATATCTTCATTTAAGATATTTGTATTTCGGCAATTCACATCATCTTCATTGCTTCATTACATTCACGGGTTAAGATGAGCTCATCAAATTAACCTGCTCCCAATGTATGGGTCTTCATAGCTCAATAGACCTTTTTACCGATACGGCGGCCATATTGAATTAATGAGCATTATAGAATGCCCAGGGGGCATGAGCACATTTTGTTTGTACTTTCGAGCGCTTTTCGGGACATTTTTTCTTAACGTTTACTTAGAATAAGATTGTAATGGGAAAAAAGATCCTTGTGCCGTGTTTGGATGTAATAATGATCGCCTTTTCCTAGTTTAGTATTAGAAATATGGGCCCAGTTGTTCGAAGGCCGATTAGCGCTTAACCCGGGGTTAAATTTAACCCGGGTTTTTTTTTCTTGTTTTCAAAAGCATTTTCTCGGATAATTTTCTCTGTTATATTTAGAGCTTTCAATCATCAACTTGTAGACAAAAAGAATTAAAACTGAAATGCTTTTTAAGCTTTCAAATTTGAATTCAAATCTCGCACTAACCAGGGGGGGGGGGGGGGGGATTTCGGGTGGCATTATATCAGCAGTATGTTGCACAAGAATTGTTAAGATGGCCCACAATCAAAAGTAATAAAGTAATAAAAAGGCCGATTATTTTGAGAAATATGTCGTTCTATTTCGTTCGGTAACAAAGGCGGCTCGCAGGAAAAATTGCGAATTCTCTCACGTTTTCTAACAGGCTTCAAACCTCTGAACTGTTGGGAGTACTTCAATTTTTCCTTCCACGCCGCCTGTGTCCACTGCGGACTAAAAAACATCTTTACCATGTATTCACCACGCTTAAAATTCATCATCTCTTTTCGATCATTGTGCCAGATTTTTCGACCTTCTGGTTATATGGTCCACGTGCGCTTCCTCTGAGTTACAAGAGTAGTAAAAGTAAAGGCCGTCAAACTAACAACAATAAAACTAACTGCAATAATGGGTATGACTCATGTACTGTTTCTCATATAAAGACACAGAGAAACTTTTCAGTCAAAAGCTCTAATCCCGCAGTCATTTCTTATATTAATATAGACGCTAAATCTTTAATTTCAGCTACAGGCTTCAATAGCCTTCATTGCAGCCGTTTTCATTGCCATTACACAAAGCTCCTGACGTGCGTAATGTACCAAAAACGGCTGTGAACGAGAGTGAAGGAAGGGTTAGGTCAGTCGGTAGAGCGCTTGACTGCAGAGCGGGAGGTCGTGAGTTAGACTCCCGAGCCGGACCAATACTCAGGGCCTTAAAATAGCTGGCTCACCTAGCTTGACATGCGCAGTCTTAACGTCCTGGGAATTTTCTGCCACACAAGTGTAGTTTCCCAAGTCGGCTTCAGTAACGGATGATATGGTTAGCATCACAACTTCAGGGGCACGGCGTTTTGGAGTGACAACCTTTTGTGTTTTTTCTTTTCTCCAATGCATAAATGGCATTGGGTTTCCTGTGGCTTTGCATGTTACATTCCACAGTGCGCCCAGCTTCACCTGGAAGACGTCCTTGCTTGGGATTATAAAAACGTTTGGGTCCTCTATGAAAAAAAAATATATATATATTGATGAACAAATGACCCTCGCAGAATTAAGTTCAGCAAGAGCCACAACAGCCATTTATTAAATTCAACATGAGCTGAGCCACAAGAGAACAGCTCTTCCAATTTTCAACTACTCAAACTTTTTCAAAAGCAGGACTAATTCTAGAGTGCATGGACCCAGAAACACAAGCATCTGATGTGGACACAATAATTATGTAAAAAATCGTCGACTTTCAAATCACATCATTGCAGCTTCAAAGGGGAAATTAGTAATCTCGCCGGGGGTAACTCATATCATGCACAGCTGCTAAGTAGGGCTCAAATTTCGAAGTGAGAACAATTACTTGACGTATAAATTTTATCAGGGCTGATTCAAATAAAATTCATACGACATTCCAAAATTTTTTAAATAAAGATATGATCGTCGCAGTGGTAATTGCAATTCAACCAATTGTAAATTAATCCGAGAAAAAATCCGGGACTTCAACGGGATTCGAACCCATGACCTCTGCGTTAGCGCTGCAGTGCTCTAACCAATTAAGCTATGAAGACCCATGCACTGAAAGCTGGCCAATTTGTTGAAAAAAAAATCGAGACTTCTTGGGTTTTCTCATGTTAATTTGCAATTGCTAAAATTGCAATTACCACTGCGATGATCATATCTTCATTTAAGATATTTGTATTTCGGCAATTCACATCATCTTCATTGCTTCATTACATTCACGGGTTAAGATGAGCTCATCAAATTAACCTGCTCCCAATGTATGGGTCTTCATAGCTCAATAGACCTTTTTACCGATACGGCGGCCATATTGAATTAATGAGCATTATAGAATGCCCAGGGGGCATGAGCACATTTTGTTTGTACTTTCGAGCGCTTTTCGGGACATTTTTTCTTAACGTTTACTTAGAATAAGATTGTAATGGGAAAAAAGATCCTTGTGCCGTGTTTGGATGTAATAATGATCGCCTTTTCCTAGTTTAGTATTAGAAATATGGGCCCAGTTGTTCGAAGGCCGATTAGCGCTTAACCCGGGGTTAAATTTAACCCGGNAAGCATCTGATGTGGACACAATAATTATGTAAAAAATCGTCGACTTTCAAATCACATCATTGCAGCTTCAAAGGGGAAATTAGTAATCTCGCCGGGGGTAACTCATATCATGCACAGCTGCTAAGTAGGGCTCAAATTTCGAAGTGAGAACAATTACTTGACGTATAAATTTTATCAGGGCTGATTCAAATAAAATTCATACGACATTCCAAAATTTTTTAAATAAAGATATGATCGTCGCAGTGGTAATTGCAATTCAACCAATTGCAAATTAATCCGAGAAAAAATCCGGGACTTCAACGGGATTCGAACCCATGACCTCTGCGTTAGCGCTGCAGTGCTCTAACCAATTAAGCTATGAAGACCCATGCACTGAAAGCTGGCCAATTTGTTGAAAAAAAAATCGAGACTTCTTGGGTTTTCTCATGTTAATTTGCAATTGCTAAAATTGCAATTACCACTGCGATGATCATATCTTCATTTAAGATATTTGTATTTCGGCAGTTCACATCATCTTCATTGCTTCATTACATTCACGGGTTAAGATGAGCTCATCAAATTAACCTGCTCCCAATGTATGGGTCTTCATAGCTCAATAGACCTTTTTACCGATACGGCGGCCATATTGAATTAATGAGCATTATAGAATGCCCAGGGGGCATGAGCACATTTTGTTTGTACTTTCGAGCGCTTTTCGGGACATTTTTTCTTAACGTTTACTTAGAATAAGATTGTAATGGGAAAAAAGATCCTTGTGCCGTGTTTGGATGTAATAATGATCGCCTTTTCCTAGTTTAGTATTAGAAATATGGGCCCAGTTGTTCGAAGGCCGATTAGCGCTTAACCCGGGGTTAAATTTAACCCGGTTTTTTTTTTCTTGTTTTCAAAAGCATTTTCTCGGATAATTTTCTCTGTTATATTTAGAGCTTTCAATCATCAACTTGTAGACAAAAAGAATTAAAACTGAAATGCTTTTTAAGCTTTCAAATTTGAATTCAAATCTCGCACTAACCCTGGGTTGTCTTAACCCAGCTTTGAACAACTCGGCCATGGTCTTTTCTCAAAAGTCACATGAATAAGCTCTAAAGTTAACTGAATTGTGGAAAACAAGTTTATTGTTTGATTTAAATTATCAATTCGAGTTAATATACAGGAGCTTCGCTTTTAGCCCTGGCTAAATCTATATATTATTACCTTGTGTTCGTGCTCAATCAGTCCCCCCCTCCCTTCTTTTTTGGGCATGTGTGTTACAATGTCATAGCTTACTATTTAGTATACTGTACTTGCTTTCTCATGATTATTCCAATTTTCTGAATCTTCGCAGTCATTGCGAATGGAACGGGGGCTGGAGTAACTTTTTAAATTAATTTGGTATCATATTTTATTATATAAACACCAATGAAATACCAAGTGAGCTTTCGCGCGAAAATTGTCATCTTCACATGTAAAAATAACATGTTATCTTCACTTATGAAAATATCACCATTGCTATGGCTTCATAATAAACCGCACCTTGCAGACCAAAAAACTATTTCAGTAAAATGGTTTGGCATTTCATTGGTGTTTATGTAATCAATAGAACATTACATGGTCGCTTGGAGATACGAAATTTCTCTTCGAGTGTTGAAAAATATTTCACGAGTGAGCGCAGCGAACGAGTGAAATATTCTTTTCAACATGAGAAGAGAAATTTCGTATCTCCGTGCGGCCATGTGATATCCTCTATGTCTCCTTTAATCTTCTCAGTAGATTGCTAGTTTTTTCGTATACCACGTTTTAATCGGCCAATAACTAACAAAATAACTAAATAATAAATAAATGAATGAAAAATGCATAAATAAAGAAATATTTGTAACAACAGAGCATGTCTTATGTACAGTCGAACCTCCCGTAAGCGACCACCCAAAATGCAAAGATAGAGTTGTCGCTTACGGGAGGCGGTCGTTTACAAGAATCGAACCACAGGCGGTCTCTTGCGAGAAGAGGTCGAGGAACATCTACTTTATGGAAAATAATTTATTGCATGCAATGTCAAAGGTAGTATATGTGTACATGCAGTTTCATGTTGTCTCTAAAGTTCTCTGTATATTCTAAGTAATATAGTGCACACAGCAAAAATAGAGATTAGAGAATACATATGTACACCAATTGGTCGATTACAAGAGGTTAAAAACAATGGAAAATCATTAACCGTCAGGCTCAAAAAGTGGTCGCGGTTGCTTACACAAGGTGGTCGTTTACTAGAGGTTCAAACTGTAAGGCTTTGATTGGGAAAATTTGAAATTTTGGTGTTTTGGATTGACGGTCGCAGGTGGGAGGTGGTCACTTAAGAGAGGTGGTCGCACATGGAGGTTCCACTGTATTTAAATTCATACTTGGCTTTGAGGCTTGGGGTAAACAGAATAAAAGAATCTATTCTTCAAGTTGATTTTAATATACAGAAAATGGTCAATATACAGCATTTACAGCGCGAGGAGTAAACGACCAGTCTGTATTATTTTAAGTGCACAAATTCATTTAACCGTCCTTAAATTAGCCCTTACCCAAAACATCCAAGAAAGCCGTGGCATTACTTGTCCCTTGCCTGTTAGTAGCTTGACACGTGTAAAAACCAGTTTGATCAGCATGTGAAGGTGAACATATCAACAGCTGGCCAACATAATTATCCACCTGATAGAAACCTGGACGAAGCTTTCTGCTTTCGCAAGAGTCCGACTCTTCCATAGTGACTGGTGTCATTTCAGGAGACGTCCCGTCTTTGAACCACTCAACCGTTGGAGCCGGATAAGCAGAAATGTTGCATCTCAATTTCACGGTTGTGTTCTTGTACACTGTTTGGTTCGAAAAACTGAGAATCGTTGGCGGAAAAACCTCTGTCAAGAAAAGGAAAATTAACTAGAAACACAATGTGACCGACATTTAATATCAAGGAGTTTTAAAAAGTCACGACAGCGACGGCAACGAGAATGTCAGAATACAAAAAAGAGTAAAAAGAGTAGGTTTACTATGTGAAATCAAACGACAAGAAAGTTTTCTTCCTCTTTCAAAACTTGGATGGCGCACTGGAATTCAACTCCAACAGAGTACGCCAACATTAATTTGAAATAGTGAGGGAAGAAGCAAATTTATTAGCCTACAAGTAAGCTCTCCATTTGGGGTAGCCTGTGCCACTAAACTTTGGTTAAGTCCGTCTGCGAAATAGCGCGCCGGATTTAAGGTGTACGTATACACGGGCGTATGTGCGTATCATGTACGCAACGCTCTAGCCAACCGTTGGCTAGGTTAGCTTGGTTTTCATGACTGAGAAAAGCTACTGCTTAAAGGGGCTGTGTCCATTTTGTTTAATTTTGCGAATTACTCGCCCTCAATCGCTATGGAACTTAAAGTAAGCAAAGAAATTACACGTAAAAATCGCGTAAATGACAAAATCAGAAATCCGAGACAAACAAATATGTCTCCTGAGCATTATTTTTGAAGTTGCAAGCAGCAGGGATCAACTTTGAAAAACTGTTAGGCTGAACAGTTTTCAAAAATCCTAATTTCAATCCGTTTCAATCTTCTTCAGTTTTGCCCATCCGTGGCATCTCTTGTTTCTGTTATATTATTTTAACCTTCCTTTAAAGTTTATTTTTATGTTTCTCTTAATTTAACAGACATTTTGTAATTTCCTAATTTGGATGGATTTCGTGACACAGCTCCTTTAACGCCTGCATACACGAGTTATAACTTACTTGTGATTGTAATGTTTATGGAATCAGTAAAGTGGTGTCCACTGTCATCTTCTGCTCCACAAGTATACTTTCCAGAATCATTTGTCGCAACTCTCTCCACCACTAAGTGAGTCTGTGTCAGATGAGTTCTTACTGTTGATGAGATATTCACTCTCGTATCGGCAGCACGCGACAGCTGTTCGCCATCTTTGTGCCAAGTTATCATGGAGCCCTTCCAAAACATTTCACATGTAAGATTCATAGTGTTGCCTTCGTCATGCTCTGGAGATGCGATTACATTTATTGGTTTATCGTGAGAACCTGTAATGCGAAATAAGAGAAAATACTTTGCTTAATACAGTACTAGTAGTATATTAACGAAGGCGATTATTGACGTACAGTAGTTCAATCACTGACAATATTGAAAGAACAGATAAAGAACGATCTACAATGTTTTTACCTTGCTTTTAAAGAATCAAAGGACAAAAGTGGAAATAAATTGAATACAAAGACGGGAAAGGATAACACCAACACTACCAACAACAACAACAACAACAACAACAACAGCAAAAAATAACAACAACAACTAGCCAGATAAAGAGTTGATAAAATTAAACAAACAAACATATTCAGTGAAAGACCTGTCTAGCAGCAGACAGCGAATACAGCTGCTCGCTGTGCTCATCGCCACTAAGAACGTTTGCGGCAAGGAGCGAGGATAGACGGCTGTATTCTCAGGTTAACCAATCAAGTATATTAAGGTGTAAAAAGTAAATCAACCTACCACCTAAGAACCTCATCACATAATCATCAGACCCCATCGGATTGGTAGCTACACAACGGAAAAACGCAGATGGTAAATCTTGAGGGAAGGTAAGCTTGCTTACACCAGTTGCTATGTCCACGGCTGGTGACACAAAAAAGGGAGCTGAGACGTCTTGCCATTTTGAATCTGACGGCTTACATTGACGGTTGTCATTTAAGCAGAGTTCTCTCTGATATTGCCATCTGAATGTAGGCGGTGGATTGGTCCGAGAAACCTTGCAATCTATAACTGTAGTCGAGTACCAAATTTCTCTGACTTTGTCCAAAGTGGGTGGAGCTGGTAATAAATTATCAGCACAAAATAAGTCGTTACTTAAATAATAATTAAACCATTTGTCTCTTAGACCTGGCTAAGAAAGGCAATTAACAGTAAGTCAAACCAGTTACCATAAACCTAAAAAGAAACACGGTTATTGAAACCACTGTTTACTGAACTACATGTTCGCCGGCATTCAATTACTTCACTAGCGAAAACGGAGGCACAGTTGGTGTTGTTTCATTCCAGTTCACTTTTTTTGCCGAGTATTTATTGCCTGTTTGACCGAATCACGCAAATACACATACTGAAGTTGAGTATCAAAATTATTTTTGACGTTAAATAGACTGAAAAAAAAAGAAAAAAAACAGCTAACATTTCGCAATGCCAGCTCTGGTTTCCCCACGAATGACATCTGAGTAACGACCACACAAATTCCATACTTCTATAGTGATGACGCGTCGCGCTCGCGCATCACTACCCGAACCTGGGTAGTGTTTCTGATTGGTAGAACCAAATTTTCAACCAATCGGAAGCACTACCCATGACCTGGGTAATGACACGTCGTCAGAATGGAATTCTGCGCACGTTTCTCAGTCGTCATTTGGCGGAAAAACAACGGTGGCGTCTCGAAATGTCGACTGTTTTCTCAAGTTATCATCACCCGAGATAGCATATTTTTTGACTTGAAAAAATTTGCGAATAAGCAGTGAAAACTTATGAAACAAGATTACAATTTTCAAGAATTTGGAGGGAAAAATCTCCCAAGTTTCCCATGCTTTGAATATTACTATACTCGTGAAAGAAAAGGGGATTATTGGTGGCTGATTCTATGTTAAACCTAGTACGTGCATTAAATCTGAGTGTGCGTTTTTAGCTCTACCGGATCAGCACTGAAGGTGCGTTTGCACTTACGTAGCCACCTTTTCTGTTTTGTTTTTTGTTTTGGCTTGAAAATGGATAAAAACCGCCTTTTTCAGGAAGGCCCTGACCTCAAACCAAAAAAAAAGCTGTTAGTTAATTTACTGCTTTTTTTTAAAGTAATCGTTAGAATAGTAGGCCAAAAAAACTACGTTTGAACCCTGAATATTACTATTAAACCTAGATTTCTACATGACATACAGTAAACAGAAATTTCCACATCTTTTGTTGCATTTTGCAATTCACTATTGTTTGCCACACAGGTGTAGTTCCCATGATCTCTGGGGTACTTTGTGTTGTTTATTATTAGATAACTTTCCACATAAGCAAACTTTCTGTTGCGATCTTCTTCTACTTGATAGCGCTCTCCGGCACAGCTAGTATTGGAAGTGGCCGTTTTGCAAACTGGGATCTCCGTTCCATCGTGAAACCATCTTATTGTTGCAAGTGGATAGCCATCTGCTTTACATCTCAAGTTCACCCCTTTTGGTTCACGAACCACAGACGATCCGCTGTCAACTTTGCAATACTCAATCCTTGTTGCACTGAAATCTGTTAAAAACAAGTACAGATCTGTTAAAACTGAATTCTGTTACTGCACTTTTCAAAGAAACGCGAATTCCGAAGTTCAAAAGCCAACGGCGTTAGCATGCGTTTTTCGCTGCCGTCAATAATTTCAGCGGACCTCTTAGGATACAGAACTTTTCTTCAGCGAGTTCAAAAGGTCATGGTTTGTGATTTGTGATTAAATAGTGGATTTCGATCCGTTTTGTGTGTTTTGTTCGTTGCTTTTGATCGTAATTATGATCGACGGCAGCGAAAAACGCAATTGTGAAGGCGGCTTTTGAATCTCAGAGTTATCGTGTTTTCGAAAAGCGCAGTAAAAACCAGATCATTAGTACACATTATATGGTGTAATCAAGGTGAAAAGGGTACCCATTTACCATCTTGATTTTTGCGCTATGTCTAGCCCTGGCCATGACATTCAGAGTTTTTACACTTAGTTGTATACTTCTCAAAGGTGTAGAAGAGTGGAATAGTCTAACAAAAGGAAGCTTGAGCAAAGGTGTTTTTGAACGACGCACGTCTCGACCGGAAGTAGGGCTTTTTNAGTGGATTTCGATCCGTTTTGTGTGTTTTGTTCGTTGCTTTTGATCGTAATTATGATCGACGGCAGCGAAAAACGCAATTGTGAAGGCGGCTTTTGAATCTCAGAGTTAGCGTGTTTTCGAAAAGCGCAGTAAAAACCAGATCATTAGTACACATTATATGGTGTAATCAAGGTGAAAAGGGTACCCATTTACCATCTTGATTTTTGCGCTATGTCTAGCCCTGGCCATGACATTCAGAGTTTTTACACTTAGTTGTATACTTCTCAAAGGTGTAGAAGAGTGGAATAGTCTAACAAAAGGAAGCTTGAGCAAAGGTGTTTTTGAACGACGCACGTCTCGACCGGAAGTAGGGCTTTTTTCCCTAGAAATATGTCCTCACACTTCTTAATTTGTAATAAACTTCCAAGTGTCTTTACTCTTGTGGAGACGGTTTTCCCGCAAATTTAAGCGAAACCACTTCCTTAGAATGCAAAATATCTTAGCGGAGAACAAGGAGCAATTTATAGCCACAAGCATATTTATAACAAAATTAATTTTAAAAGCTTACACGCACTTTACCCTTCAATAAATATCAGTTTACAAGAAAACTGGAAACAACTTATTAAATTAACACTAAATTTATTACTTTGACTGTTTTTCCATGGGAAACCACGGGATACCAAAGATAAACCACAGGATAACCAACATAAAATAATACCAACTTACCATGAACCACCAAACCAACATCATAAGTCTTGCTATTCTTTACTTTGTTTCTCCGATAAAATATCTCGCAGTGGTAATACACTCCGCCAACTGGAGTAACCTTGGCATTTTCAATCATTAAAAGTGAGCAACTTTCATTATATCTGCGTGTTTCACTGTCAGAAATTTTCACATAGCTTGATCCACTTTTCCTGTACCACGTAAAATCAAGGTATTTTTCTAGGGAAACAAAGTGACCACTTCTCATCTTAACACGACAAGCAAAACTTGTATTCTCTCCAGGCCTCAAAATAGCAGAGGAAGGATAGATGTCAGGACAGCACGGGGTTGTCTCTAACAAAAAAAACAAGGATTGGGTTTCAAAAAAGAATTAAATAGACAATAAACTCTATACACTCTGCAGTCAACTTCCTCTAAGATGAACACCTTTAGGACCTGGCTCCAGTTGTTCAAAAGTTGGATAGCACTATCCCCCCAGGGTGGGGGGTACTTCCAGAAAAATTGGGTGGGAGTGTGCAGCATGCTTCCTGAAACCCTTATCCTATTTCAGACCCAGGTCTGTGATTTTTCCCAACCCTATTTCAGACCTGATCAAACATTTGATACCCTATTTCAGACCAGACCCTTAAATCATTTCCCAATTTCAGACCTGCCTTAGTTATAATGAGTTCCCTAGGTCAGACAAATGTTAAAGGCAATGTTTATATTGTACAAAGGTTCGAGCTTAAAATTCCACACTACAAAGCAAGTTGCACAAGGCGCCATCATAAGTACAGAATACGTGCCTACATACCTAATTAATGTTAATTAAAAAAAACATACCTGATTCAAGACTAGAGTGCACAAACCAATTAATACCCTATTTATGACCAAAACGGTCAAAATTGATACCCTATTTCAGACCAAAATGGCTAAAACACCATATATAAGGGAGTAAACCCCCCAACCCCCTAGAACAACTGGAGCCTGCACTGTAGAGAGGATAAGTCGTTACTTTACAATGCCATGGTAGCAAAATTTCTGGATGACAACAAACTGAAAATGTCAGTGCAAAATATTAAAGTAGTTGAAACATTCTTATGTCACATAATTACTACATCAGGAGCATAGCATCCACACATGCACATAAAACAAACTAGGCCAAGTTTGTTTTGTTATGGTTTTGTTGCTAAGCAACAGCAGAGACCAACCAAACTGACAGAAATACAGTGAAATGGCATTCACTTGTTGCTCATTTACCCATGCAAGTTCCATGCACAATGCGAATTCAAATTTGGACAACAATACAAACCTCACTTTTTGAGGAGTTGCATGTATTGTATTAAGTAATTATTTCCCCGAAAAACCTCTTTGGGTTGGAAATAATAAAAAGAGTATAATTTTAAATTTTTAAAACTTACTTTTTTGTACTTTGTAATGTAAGTGACTGAATATTAAAATTGATATGATACTGGAATGACTTTAATTCCAGAATGAGTTTTGTTCCAGAGTAAAGTTAATTCTGCATTCACATGATAAAACTAGTTCAGATACACATGCGTCACTCATTACAGACTACACATTATAATTTGCAATTTTAAATCTGGAATGAAATTTATTTTCAGTTTACATGATGCAAAAATGAAATTTCAAACGTGAACGATAATTTCATTGGGAAAGAAAACCAGATTGACTTGTACAGAAACGATATGTTTTTTTGGTATCATGTAAACAAATAAAGAGAAATAATTATGAAGATAGAATGAGTGATTCTGGTATCATATGGATAGCCCCTTAGAGTACACAATGATTTCGCCCTCTTCCACATACACTGGCCAGTAATTGCGAAAAACAGACATGAAAGCCATTTACCTTCCTGAACGATGAGAACCACAGTCTTGGATTCAATTGGCCCAACACCCCCCTGACTGCTTGTAGCCTTACATTTGTAAGTCCCCTGATCAGTCTTCTTAACACCATAAATGGTATAGACTTGTTTATCCAAAGAAATTCTGCCCCCAACAGGCTGTTCTCGAAAATTGAAAATCAATGTTGTAGAAGCATTTGGGTCATCTGTGCGGCAGCTGATTGACTGATTAACTGCAGTCTTGTTGAATTCTAGTACCACCCGTCGCACATTTGGATCTGTTGTGTTAATGAATTCAAAGCTTTCTGAAAAAAAAAACAGAAATTAAATTAAAAAGGGCTTTAAAATGCAAAGTATGGCACATCGCTTATTCAGATTCTGTGATAACTTGCCTTCAATAAACACAAATTGACTGAGACCAAAGTATAGCATGGGTGTGGCTTTGGACATTTGATGAGGTCTTGCATTAAATTAACAGACAAGGACCTAATACAGACCATTAACGTTCAGTGGTGGTACAATATGTGCAAAAATACCCTAGAATTGAAAAATGTTTCCAAGTTTGGGAAAAAATGGGCTATAAACTTCCAAACTAAAGAGCAGACAATCTCAAAAGTTGATTTTTTCTAAGATTTGGTGACAGGAGATATAATAATAATAATAATTTATGTCTTATTACGAGGCGCAAATTAACATCTGAATATGATCACATGCGCCTTACAACCTGTAATAATTGCAATAAAGTATACTTAAAAATACCTAAAATATATAATCTAAAATTTATCAGTCTAACTATGACAGGCAAAGCCTCCCTAAATAATTAAGTGTTTATTGTTCCTTTAAAAACCAAAAAAGTTATCGATGTCTCTGACACTTGCAGGCAGACTGTTCCACAGTGCAGGGGCAGCTATTTAGAATGATCTGTCGCCCAGAGTTTTCTTTGTTTTTCCCATGGGCAACTGCAATAGTAGTTCTTCAGAAGAACAAAGCTGGTATTTACATTTCTTCTTTAATCGAACTAGATTGCAGATATAGGATGGTGCAAGTCAATATATTGCTTTAAACGTTAAAACTAAGATTTTAAACTCGATACAGTAGGCAACAGGTAGCCAATGCAAAGAAAATAAGACGAGTGTAATATGATTAACCTCGGAGTTGAGCATACGAGCCGAACAGCACTATTTTGAATACGTTGTAACTTACTCATGTGTACTGCGGGAACTTTATAGGAGACGGGGACATTAGAGCCATATCTGATATCTTTTGCTGTTTTGCTAAAGTTACCAATCCCCTCGAACTGATTTGATGAGTTCTTACCCCAATATAAAAAGGGCAACCTTGTTTCCAGGCAGTGGTGTCAGATGGCCTTAAGCTTAGCTGTTTATGCATGAGTGAACTCAAACTAATGTCGAAAGAGTTCACGGCTATCCAAACACGAAGTTGCTGAATTTTCAACTAAAACTGAACAGGAGAATTTCAATATGCCATTGCCCTATGGACGTCAATTTTTTTTGAGAAGTATATGTGTGAGGAAAAAAACAAAAAACATAAATCCTGAAGTTGACAAACAGGGCAAATGCTTTGGAGAAATTTTGAAGGGGAGTTTAACGTTGAACAAATAATAAAACAATAATTGCACTCAGCTTTTGTATGATAAAAAGACTAAATTAAGCAGATCTGATCAGCCTTAAGCCTAAGTGGATAACATCCTCCTTGATCAATATACATGTATAATATCTAGCCTTAGAAAACAGCTGACATTTGGCTACGCTACCACTGGTTTCCAAGCTTGTCAAAATAATTTCAAGTGGTAGGAGAATACAAGTAAGTAGGCGGCACTGGGGCCTGGAGCCCCCCCCAGGCAGGAGGTGAGGGGGTCTGGGGGTCTGGGTCCCGGGCCCCCAGTGGGTTACAGGGGCAGCGCCCTGTTGGGGTTCCAAGGGGCGAAGGCCACAGAAGCAAAATGGATTTGAGGTTTTTGTGCTAACTGAAATTGGCTCTCCTGAGAGCAAAGCTAACAACCCTGAGTATCTGTTTTCGAATGAAAATCATCAATCAGTTTTTTTTATTTTCCATAGATGCCATATCCTAGTACATGTTATAGGTCCATATTTTTTTGTTAACAATAATTATGTTTATTATTTCACAGTAAGATTTTTTTAATGATAACAGATCATTTCTTTAGTTTATTAAGAGTGACCAAGTTGTGTGATTATTAATTCACTATTATAAATTAGATTCTGTATGGGTATACTTGTCTTCAATCAAATAATGTATCATATTAATAGGGAAGCAGAAGGACTCAAATAACTACAAAATTCACAATTACATGTAATATTAATACAAACCAATTCAGTAATGCTATAATAAGATTTATGAAACATTTGCAAGAAAGCTACCAAAAATCACGATCACTTTCACAGTCAAGCAAAGGAAAAAACAGACGTAAAATCACTGCAAAGAAAAAACTTACTGCTGATCAACGAAAACTATTTTGCTTTAGAACACTTTTGCATCAAAAATATCAACAAACCTGCACCACTTCTTCACTTTTTGCTAATTTTGCTAAAATGTTGACCAGAGAGGACTGTTGTTTAGCCATTTTCCCACACAAACTCTGAATACAAGTTTCCCAAGACCACATGTGGATTGAGCAAGTGTAACTGGATACCAAGAGTGGGAATATTCATTCAGCGTTTAATCAGGACGTGCGAAAGTCAAACTTTGATGCAGAATTAAAAATGCTTTTCTTACGGGCGACTTTCTGTATAAGAATGAAGTTTCAGACAACTTTCCTTGGAAGATATATCATAACAAATTTTATGTCTACACACGTAGCATGCACATCTCTTTTATTAGCATCAATCCATAAAAAAAAAATTAAACGATGTTCTACTCGTCTGACAAATTAACCAATGTTTTCAAATGCGTCATGTTTGTCAGCCAATTTCATGTAAGATAGGTACTTTAATATATCGCATTACACTTCTTTCAATTTCAAACGCAAACTCATACCAGATGAGTTTGAAAAACCACTCAAAAGCTTTCGCGTGTCTTTTATTCTTCACTCTAAACAAAGGATTCTTTAAAGACTACCTAAACAAAACCTGTTGCATGCATCAACGCTATTTTTATTCGCTTTGCGGTATCATAATTATTACGGCTATGGAAAGAACTAAGTGGGAGCGGATTAGAAAACACCTTAAAAATCATGAAAAAGAACATTCAGGGCATGATGAAAACAATTTCTTTTTCTATTCTATTTTCTACTTTACAACTTTTTTTAATCGTCCATTTTTCACTTTTCTACAACAATTCACAGCCGGTGAAAAGTACAAAGTAGCCGGCGATAGCGCCGGTCGCGTCTCATTTTGACAACCCTGGGTTTCCCCGCCAAATGACGTCTGAGAAACGAGCGCAAAAATTCCATAATGATGACGCATCACTACTAAGATCTGGGTAGTGCCACATCATCAGTATGGAATTTCTGCACTCGTTTCTCAGACGTCATTTGGAGGGGAAACCAGAGGTAGCATCACCAAATGTTGGCTGTTTTCTCAGGCTGAGGCATTTCCAGAGAGTACTGAATTACTAACCTTCAGTCACAGTCATCATGGCAGGGTATTTAACAGTTACTACCCAACTCGACTGTTTTTAATTTCAATAAAAAGGACATTGCCTGTAAATCGCGTTTTTGTATAATTATATGTACTTAACCGTGTGTAAAACACAGGGAAACCATAAACCAGGACAAAAACCCGCACAATACCACACAAAACGTATGCATGCCATATTTAAGCTTAAGTAAACCTCTCGTTCCTTGTTATAAACAAACAGCGAACTCTATGAATAATAAATAGGTCTAATTAAATTGGGTGTTTTCTGAATCTTCACTCATACTCTTCATTCTGGTTAGTTATTCGTAAATAAAAGACGTGTCGCACTTACGAATAAAATGTAGCAAACACATCTCATTTTATTATTAGTATTTGCCGACGACATATATAAAAATCAAAATTCAAATTAAGAACATCATAACTTAAGTTCATACTCACCAGCTGATCTAATGAATATCATCACGCTCATCAACAAAACACATGCCTCACGTGCGCAAGCGAAGGCATACAAAACTGAAACCAAAGACGAAGAACTCTTCGATTTGGCCATCCTTGCAAAGATTAGAAAAGTGTGTACATCGATGACTTATTCTAGCCAATTCGGCTGTGCTAGGCAGTTGTCTGGAACATCGTGTGGTTCACGAGGCATATCAACCAGTCTGACAGAAGAAGAAGTTTGTACGCCATTGACTTTTTAAAGAAAATAAATCCAGCAGATCCTAGACAAGCAGACGATAAGTTCAGCGAATGCGTAATCGCTTAAAAATATGTCCAGATAACCGGCGGATGGAACCTTTCCCACATTTATGTCATCGATTTTCAAGCTTCCTTGTTCCCTCTCACTTTCGCGCCCGCGCCACAACAGGGTCAGTTGAAAGTGTCAACTTCGTATATGAATGTCACACTCCGTCACAAGTCTGTTGACATATCCGCCCCCAGATCTTAAAAAAGGTGGATAAACGAAGGCTTCACCGCCCTTCCTCCACTTTCTCACAAAAGCGACGTGAACCGTGCTCCAAAGATAACACCAAAACAATTATCATTTCAGTCAATCCTCCTAGACTGTGAATAATTTTCTCGGTTCCTGAGATGTAAGGGGGGTTCAGTCTGATGGAAGTGCGGGATCAAAAATGTTCTTAGACCGTTCCGAGTTTAAACGATCACGTGCACAAAGGAGCTACTGACGGCTATGAGTGGGGGTAGTTCAGGGTTTTTAAAAACTGTTACCCCCGAAATCAAACATAAACCTTTTTTTGAAGGATTTCTGATTCACACCCCAGGGTCATATCCTAAGCTTATCCTGAACGTGCTTCCTGTGTTTATTTTGTTGTCACACCCTTAAATTCAACACTGGGACATGATTCGTCCCTGTCCAACCATAAAGAGTTTCCCATGTAGCATTTTCCAAACTCCTTGAGAACGGAAGTTACAAAATAGCTTGTTGTGAATGATTTCATAACGTTCAAATGATTAGGGTGTATTTTCAGTTTGTAATCGACCACGATTGTTTCCTAAGGTTTCCACGCTAACCACTTAGACTAGTGGAGTCGTGCTGAAGCCTGAATAACGTCTCTAGGCTCACCAGATAGCATCAAGTCAATTTAAAATAGGCTACTTTCTAATCTTTGTGGAATGTCTGGTCAATATTCAGTTTTTACTTTGAAAATCGGTAATTTTTTTCTCTACATA